TTCGGTCCCCTCACTCTGACCTCGTATCCCTGGGGGTTGGGCGAAGGTCCTGGTCGTGGGGTTGGCTTACACGTTTCCCGCCCTGGGGGGCGTGGACGTTGTATACCCCGGGCGATGGAATCCGACTGCGCTGGAGAGGGGCGTGGAATGGTGCGGGTACACAGAAATCGCGAGGCTTCGTCGCGTGGGCGCCCGGATCTCCCGACCCCCTTCCAGGGGGCCAGCGTCCTGCCCCGGGTCGCTCCCCACGGGGCCCGACACGAGCTGTACCATGCGTGCAAGGAGGCCCGGCGGCGGAGGAGGGGATGGAGAGGAGGGGATGGAGAGGAGGGGATGGAGAGGGGGGGGGGGGGAGGGGGGAGGGGGGAGGGAGGAGAGGAGGGGAGGGAGGGGGCCGGGGATGGCGAGGGAGGGGGGGGGGAGCTGTTGCCCTCTGAGGGCCCTCCACGGGCACGAAGAGGGCAAAAGCCTGGGAGAAACCGGTGGTCTCGCGTGTGTTGTCAGCTCGAATCGGGGAACAGCGACAGTACACGAGGATCGCGCGCGTCTGACCACCCAATCAGCGTGCTGTTGTCGAGGAGCGCGCCAGGATGCTGTGCACAACACTGTCGAGAGGGTACCACGCACAACTGATACTGATACTGAGACTGGCTGAACGGAACTGGCCGGACCGAACCAGCTGGCGCCGCGAACTTGCTTGACGAACCAACAACACACACCCATACCCATAGGGGGATCGGAGAGGGCGATGGGTGCGTGTTAGCGGATCGGGGTCCCCGTTCGAACGGGAGCGTTCCCCAAGGTCCGACAACCCGCACCCATACCCATAGCCAGTCCTCCTCCCAACGACCTCCCTATGTGTATGGGTGTGTGTCGTTCGTTCGTCATTGCCCGACGAACCGAGCCGGCTGAACCGAACCCGCCGAACCGAGCTGGCCGAACCGAAGCCGGGTGGCCACTCGGGGGCGTCCAAGAGAGGTGGGCGCCCAAGAGAGGGCTCGCGAAGCCTGCGCGCGGACTAGAGGGAGAGCAATGGACGCACTGCAAGAAGAGGGGCCGTGAGATCCCAGGCGATATCTCCTCCCCCTGTTCGCCCCCCCCCCTCGCAGCCGCTCCCGAAGCACTGAACCCGTCCCTCGGGCTCGGGAGCGAGCTCTTCGTCTCGAGGAGCAGAGTTGAGCAGGGACCGGCCGTCCTGGCATTTCTATCGGTCTACCTCGAAAGGGTCTTAGAACCCGAAAGAAGTTCCAAGAACAAGAACCGAGTTCTTGGAACATAAGCCTGAGATGTTGCAACGAGACAGTCCCAGCCAGATATGGTCTAACAACATTTGGTCTACTGTTCTTCTGAAGGTTGTTTTTGATGTTGTGTTTGTCCTTCGATATTTGTCCCCCCTCTCTCGCCAACATGCATTTTTCGGCTTGTGCGTTACTTTTTTCGCACGATGATCCAAGATACCCCTCGATGGCCCTCGCCGAGAGAAATCGCGCACGTCCGAGCGATGCCAAGTCTTCGCCGACCCCGAGCCACCGAACCCTGCCCTCGATGGCAAGATCCCCGTCGCTCTCCAGCTCTCCTCGAGCCTGCCCGCCCAACCATACTGGCTGAAACGAACGGGCCCGACCGAACCGGGTGGCCACCGAACCCTTCGCTCGGGAAAACACCTGCGGCGGCAGGCCTCGCGCTTGGCAGTCGCCACGGCGCCCTGCGCGGGCCAGGGCCCGCCCGACGCTACGCCAGCGCGGCGGGCGCGCTGGGCAGCTCGTCGGGGTCGGGGCGTCTCCTGGGCGACGGGGGGCCCCAAATCTACGACGGCCGAGCGACGAACGCTAAACGGGCTTGACGCGAGATGGCCTCGCGACCTGACACCGTGGCTCACGCGGGCCCCCGGCGCGGCACATTGCACTGGAAACGGGCCTACACGCGAACTTACGCGGGCAACTTCCGCGCGACTGCCGGCACGATCGAGCCCGATTTTTTTGCGTCGCCCGTCCGCTATGATCCCGGCGTTGCTCCTCTACGTCGGCCCTCGGGGGCCTGTCTCGGGCCATGGGGCCAGCAAGAGTCACAGCGGTGGGTGTGTGCGAGGGGGCATCCTGAAAGTCTTTCCGCGGTGAGTGCCCTCCTCCCCCTCCTGTCCTCTGCGCCCGCCCCCCCCCCCCCCCCCTGTTCTTCGGAGGGTGAAAGAGGGGGTCTGCAACAGGGGGTCTTCAATGGGGGCTGAATGGCCCATGTACGCTCAGTGTATCGCTCATGTATGTGATCGGGAACGGTTGGCATCCAATGTTGGCGGTCCGGTCATGGAGGGCCAGTCGGTCGTGCCCGCGCGTTGCCCGCGCGGGCAAGCGCGCCGTCCATCCATTATCGCTGATGCGTGCAGGCGTCCTTGCATGTTGCGCGTGGGGCGGCGCAGTGGAGTGCAAGTGTGTCTTGATTGTGCGACTGATGATCGCGCGTGTTCCCAAACGATGACGTGTCGACCCCCGAGACGGATTTGGAATGGGTCCCGCGATGTTCCCAAACTGTGAGTTTACATTCCCCTTTTTCGCAAGATGTGAAGTCACGTTTTCCTTTTTCCCAAAATGTGAATTCACATTCTGGCCCCTTCACTAAGACTCCTGCGCAAAAATCCAAAATTTGAATTCACATTTTCCCTGTTTTTCCGACATGTGAATTCACATTTTCCTTCTTCCCGAAATGTGAATTCACATGTTGGTTTTCCCCACAATGTGAATTCACATTCTGCCCTGGCCTCCAAGATCCCCAGAGCTGAAGCGCAGTGGTCCTCGTCTTAAATTGGCTAATTCTGGCAATTTTGGCAATCACCTCGCGGCTTTCGTTTATTCCCGTTTTTTGCACCCTCAGCGCACGTTGCCTTCGTCGCCTTTCCTGAGCCCCCCGCCCCCTTGCTTCGTCTACACCCTGCGAAATGCTGAAGAAATCATGGGTTAAGAAACTCAGAGTCTCAGAATTTAAATAAAAAACCCAAAACTTCTATCAAAATCTTAGGATGTACATTGAAACATTAAGAATAATCGAGACTCTCGCCGAAAACTTTAGCTTTCTTAAGCATCGCCTAGGGTGTACCCTCAAATCTCGCGCACGGGCGCAGGCGGGGAGCTTCAATTGGTTCCCCCGCTGGACACAGCAGTCGAGGATGCATCGCCCATGCGTGGCCCACAAAGGCACCATTGCCGGGACCCTGCGCCCGACCCCCACTTTCACCCTCCAAGTTCTGTCCTGCTCTTGCACCCGGCAAATTAGTTCGCCGAGCGCCCCGCAGCTTGAGCGCGCGAGAGGATTAGGGAACCATAGTCAAACAATAGTCAAACAATAGTCTAGGGACCATTTTATGACTGTTTTCGAACTGTTCTGGAATCGGTTCTACCGTATTGTCAATTTTTGGCCCAAGATCCCCCTGTGGGGGGACAGGCCCGACCTGAACCTACAGTCAACCCGTATCTCGGCGGCGAGCGAGGGGGAGGAAATGAGAAGGAGAAGACCTCCTCAGAGGGCGGCGGGACTTCGCAGAAGCGCTCGCGCCTTCTGAGGAAGCTTCTCTGTCTCCGGGGAAGGCTCAGGAAGCTTCTCGGAAGGCCGCGGAACTTCCGAGACTTCTAAGAAGGCCCGCCCCTTCTCAATTCCCCCCCTCGCTCGCCGCCGAGTATCGCAAGGACGCGCGATGAGGATGCAAGGGCCTTGGGAACCCATGTCGCAGCGTTCCGAGCGGGGCGCGGCCAGCAAACGTGGCCAAGGATGCAAGGGTACCCTTGGGAAGGTTGCCCATCCGTACTGTGCGGGTCGACTGAAGCTATTCGCTTGGGGCCCAGACGTTTCGACGAACACCTCTGGGAATGCCCCCCACCCAGCAACCGAAAATCCCAAAGGAGGCGCCCGAGGCTGCCGCGTATCGCAAGATGCGTCTGGCCGCAGGGACGGAATCAGCTGCGCCCAGAAGATTGCATCCCCCGTCACGTGTCCCAAATAGTTCAGTAGACCGAACACAGTGGCCTGACAGACTGACTCCCAGGAAGGCCCGCTCCAACGCGTGGCCTCCCCCCCTCCATCTGGGGGGGACGACCCCATATCTCGAAGTGTACTTTTTTATCACAGCGCTTCTCTGGTAATGGTTTCCTTTAGACCCTAGGCACGATGGCCTGCACCGCTGCGTAACAGTGGTCTCCTCTGGAGAGGAGTAAGGAAGCCCTCCCTTTTCTAAGGTTTCAGGCTCTGGGGCCTGTTCTCGGTCCCCAAGGCCATCAGAAATCGGCCAGGACAGAAAATTGCCCCAGGGCAGGGGGCCGCCCATTGAACACATCGCGTCGTCGAACGTCTGGCACTGGAATGTAGAAGGCATGGGTCGCGAAACTCGGGACGCAAAGGTGCCCTCGGTTTGGCAGGGTCTACCTACAAATCAGCCTCGACTGTATGCCCCAGAAAGCGGAACCGCACGATCCTTGGCGGGGTGGACCATCAGGCCCCATATAAGCGATGAGTGGGCGATTGAGGGGTCGATGTCTTCCTGCCTGAGCCCATTCCCCCCTGACTTGGGGAAGCAACAAGCTACCCCAGATTTCATAATAAAAGGGAGGGGGGTCACGACCCTCCCAGACGAGAAGTCTTAGACCCCCCAGACGATCTATCAAAGGGCGGCCCTTTGCCCAGACGCCCCCCCCGACCCTCCAAGACAGCTCACATCAGACCCCCCCCAAAATGTGACCCCCCCGCCTCTATCATGGAATACGGAGTACCCTTTACACCGCTGCTCCGTGGACTTTTCCTGGGGCGCGCTCCGACCAGGACGCCGCAGCAAACAAGAGACCCCCAGGAAGCCCCAAGAGGCCCCCACAAGGCTTCCAAGCGGCCCCTAAGAGCTTCCCAAGAGGCCCACAAACTACCCCCAAGAGGCCCCCAAGAGCGCTCGTCGTCGTCGTCGTCGCCAATCAGGGTCGGCGGCACCGGCCGTAAGGCCTTCGCAATACGGAGTACCCTTCACACCGCTACTCCGTGGACTTCTCCTGGGGCGCGCCCCGACCAGGGCGCCGCAGCAGATCCGCAGCCGTGGCGACGAGGGAAGGGCGGCGGCATCGGCATCGCTCCCTCCTGCGACTGGCGCTGCCCCTGAACGGAGGGAGAGGTTTGAGCAGAGACCGACCGTCCCAGCATTCCTATAGACCTGGCACGACACTAACAGTGTTCTCAGAGCAAAAACACTGTTAGTGTCAAGACAAGACGATATCCGCCAGACACGTTCTAACATAATATCTCACGCAGAACACAAAAATGAAGTCTTAGAGCATTACCTGGTGGTCCTCTAGGCGAGCCAGGACGCTTCGCCACTGCTTGAGGGGTGGGTGCGGGCCAGGGCCAGGAGCGGGCCTCCATGGGAGCCTCTCTCGGGCCGCGCGCGGGATCGACGAGCGAGGGTCGGATCGAGGGCTGGATCGAGGGTCGGATCGAGGCTTGGGTCGAGCAGGATCGAGGGTTGGAGTGGGGAGGATCGAGGAGGATCGAGGGCTGTAGTGAGAAGGATCGAAGAGGATCGAGACGGATCGAGGGATGGGGGGGGGGGGCGAAGAGAACCGAAGGTCATCGAGGGATGGAGCGGGCCCCCTCCAGACTTCTTCCTTCCAGTCCGCCTACCCCGAACGTCCCGACCCTTCCCTCGGGGCCGATGCCTCCTGGATCCTGACACGTTGTTTGACGGTATCGGGGCCCAGTACCCTGAGATCCGACGTAACGAAAGACTGCAGCAACATCGAAAATCATCGCGCCCGGGGGGCCGAGACCCCATCCTCCTGCGCCCTTCTCCGAGCCGCATCGGTCTGTGAGAGCCCCCCGGGGCCCGAACAAAAGAGGCGACAAGGCGCCCGGCTCGAGCCAAGCGAGACGCAAGGATCTCTCAGGGCCCCGTCCGGATGTTTCTGCACGACGCGAGCCTGTCTGGGCCTGGAACTCGGTCGGGCGTGTCCTCCTACAGGCGGACTTCGGACGAAAAATACAGAAAAAAACCGAAACATGTTCAAACCATGCCAGACCATGGTGTCACACTCGCCCCCACACTGTTCTCGACTGTCCTTGCACATCCCTCCTGTAGAGGGACAGGCCCGACGGGAGGCCTGGAAGTCTCTCGGGCCGCGGCGAGCGGCCTGCGGCCCCACACGCGGCCCCCCGCCGCGCCGCGAGCGCGGCCGCCCGGCCTCAGCCCGCGCCCGCGCCGCCCGCGCCGCCCTCCGGAGCGAGCGCCGCGCGCGCCGCCTCGGCGCCGGCCTCCTCCGGGGGCGGCTCGGCAGCCCCGGCCGCCGCCGGCGCCTCCCGAGGGTCCTCAGGGCGTGGGCTGTATACACCCTGCGAAATGCTTGAGAAATCATGGGTCAAGAAATTCATAGTCTCAGAAATTGAATAGAACCCAGAACTTCTATCAAAATCTTGGGATTTACATTGAAACGGTAAGAATAATCGACACTCTGGCCGAAAACTTAGGTTTTCTTAAGCATCGCATGAGGTATATGGCGCCAGCGTGCCCCGGAGATCTCCGCAGCCTCCGTTTGTGCAGAGCCGGGCGCGGGTGCGCCTCCTGTCCGGGCCGCGGGGCCCTCCCAGATCGACCGGGCTCGAGAAATGACGCAGAAAGATGGGGTCCCAGGCTCCAGTCGTGATTATTTGCGATGTTGCATGTTTTGTTGCAGCGTCGGTTCTCAGAGCACGTGCGTTTGTCCACTCTGCGGCGCAGGCGGCGTAATGAGGGCCGACACAAGCTGCGTGCTGCCGATGAGGCTGAACGCACTAAACACATCTTGGGCTCACACACACCCAAAGGACTATCTATCCATACCCCCGACATCATGATTTGTTCAAGACGTCGACCCCAATAAAACTCGACCCAGTCCCCGGGACCGGTTTTGCATCCTGAGTCGTGTTTTGAGTCCGGAGGCTTGGCATAAAGGGCCCCAGAGGCCGAAAATACCAATCCCCCAAAAAGGTCGTGATTTCTCTGAATGGCTCGAGTTCGGTGGTAGCTCATTGGAGCCTCTCATACCATCTTGTCGGGTCTTGCGAATCGACGCGACTCGACGCTACTCGACGCTAATCGACGCTAAATCGACGCTACTCGACGCTAAGTCGACACCAATCGACGCTAACCGACGCTGAACCGGCGCTACCGCATCGGATGTCCCAGACGCAAATCGGCGCTACTCGGAAGCCAAAGACAACATTACGAGGGCGCACAAGGCGCCCACGATTTGCCACCGACCCCCCCCATTTAGTCGAGCCCATGCCACCCAGCTCGCGCCAAGCGCTGTGAGAGCCGCCCATGGAGAGTGCTGGCTACGGACAGAGGAGGTCTTTCTCGTGATGGGGTCGCAAAAAAAGTTGCCATGGCTCATCTTGCGGCTCATGGAGCGTGGCCTCTATCGCGCACGGGCGGTGCCAAATACAACGCGCTCTGCCCGCATCCAGCACGATCCAGCACGAACGAGTGCACGAGCTACGGCTCGATCCAGCACGATACAGCACGAAGGTCGGGCATGTCTCCAGACAGGCGGATTCTGGGCGAAAATTCAGAAATACCCCAAAAACGCACAACTATAGCCAAACATACTGGAAAACTGGTCCCCTGACTATTTCTGTTGCTATCTTTGCCTGCTCTTCCTGCAGAGGGACAGGCCCGACTTCAAGCTGTGGGCTCCCATGACTTGCTCCCGACATCGAGGGCCTCTTCCGGCCATGCGCAAGAGTGACACTGGATAAGAGTGACCTTTGGTGCGCGGCTTTTGGGGGGCCGCGGGGGGACCGAACTTGGGCGCGCAAGCAGCTGCTGCTGCTTCGTTTTCGGCCATCTGGGGACCCACCTGTGCTTGGGCATGGCTTAATGGAGGGGTCACAAATGGGGGGGTCAGAAACGGTCCCCTTTCGTGCCCCTTTCGGGCCCCTCTGGACCCCCAGGGGGCTCGTTTAGGTACCGTTTGGGTACCTTTTCGGACCACACTCGCCGCCCCCCCATGTATGACCCCCCCATTACGCAACGCCCAATGTGCCCGCACCAAAGGTCACTCCGTCGAAAGGTCACTCTTACGTCTAGTCGACTCTCATCGAAGGCTCCTCGGCCCCGGCCGGCGGCCGCTCCCCGGCCGCCCCGCCCGGAGGCGCCTCGGTCTCCCGCGACTCCGCCCGCCGCGCGCCCTCGGCCGCCACCTCGGCCACCCGCGGCGCCGCCGCGGCCTCGGCCGCCGGCCGAGGAGCTGTCCGTTGTGCTATACCGTCGGGGCGACGACGACGACGAAGACGACGACGACGGCGGCGACCACGACGACGACGACGAAGACGACTGCGACGACGACGACGACGGCGACGACGACGAAGACGACGACCACGACGGCGGCCGCCCCGCCTCGGCCGCCAGCGGCGCCGCCGCGGCCGCCGCGCCGGGCGCCGGCCGCGGCCGCGCGCCCGCCTCGGCCGCGCCCTCGGCCGCGCCCGCCTCGGCCGCGGCCGCGCCGGCCTCGGCCGAGCGCCGCGCAGCGCCCGCCTCGGGGGCCGCCGCGGCCGCGTCGGGCTGCTCGGGCGCGAAGTGCGTGGCGCGCTGCAGCGTGGCCTCCAGCTCGGAGACGCCGGCGGCGGCGACGACGACGACGACGACGACAGTGACGACGACGACGACGACGGTGAACGACGACGGTAACGACGACGCCGACGACGACGACGGCGGTGACAACGGCGACGACCACGACCACGACCACGACCACGACCACGACGACGACGACGACCCTGCAGCGTGGCCTCCAGCTCGGCGATGCGGGCAAGCAGCTGGGCGATGGTGCCCTGCTGCTCCTCGCCCTCGTCCCAGGCCGCCTCCTCGCCCCGCCGCGCGGCAGCGGCGGCTGCCTCTCGCGCGCGGTCTTCCCCAGGCCTCGCCGCGAGCTGGGCGTTGGCCGCGTCCAGCCGCTCCACCATCCCTCCGATCAGGGCCTCTCGGTCAGGAGGCGACTATCGGGAGGTCTTCGTCGGAAGGATTCCAGCGGAGGCCCATGCCAAGAAACACCCTGCTGCCCTCCAGGGTGCCCTGGGTTTCTTGTGTGTCGATGGTTTTGCTACGAGAAGCGTGACGTTCCCACACCAAGCATCAATTAGCGTCCCGGGTTCTCAGGGTTGGGTTTCTGGTGGGAGGCTTCTTGTGAACTGGACTCCACCGTAGGGAGAGTTGAGCCGCATCGGGGAGCTGCTGCGCCGGACAGGCCGCCGATTGAACAGGATAAAGCAGGATTTTTAGCGGGATCGAGCTGGATTGAATCTCGGCGGTGGACACACCTCCCTTTAGTAAACCTCCCCTTAGTGAAAACGGCCTGGGACCGAAACCCGCGGACCTGGACCCGCAAAAATGACGGCCGCGACGCCCTCTCGCGAACCGAAAACGGCCAATTCACTCATCGACGTGCCAGGGCGGGAGGTCTCTCCACCCCCGAAGGATTCAGCGGGATCGAGCTGGAATAAGTCAGATTTCGAGCCAGGGGCGGCGTCGGCATCCTACCTCCCGGGGGCTGCATCGGAGTCTCGGGACCAGGGCTCCCAGGCCTCCCCCGCCCTGGCACTGCTCTCGGCCCCTGGGGGCCCCCGCCAGGCCCCCAGGACCCACAGAACACAACTGAAGGGGCCCTGGGACACACAAAGAACTAACTACACACAAGTAACAGGATTCCCCATATGTTTTCGATATGATCTGGAGGTGTGTCTTCCCCCCAACTTCCTATATTTTACCATATTTTCTTGGGAATCGACGATTCATTGTGTCTGTGTGTGTTTTTCCCATCCTGAGCAAATCAGGACGCAAAACCGGCCCTGGGGAAATTTGGCGGCGCGCACAGGGTGGTAGGGGGAGGGGAGAGGGCTTCTAGAGGGAGCCTGCTTCTTAGAAGGCGGCGGGCCTACATCTACAGATGATAAGGCCCGCGCCCTCTAAGAAGCAGGGGTGCTTCTAAGAAGCCTTCCCCCCCTCTAACTACCCCCCTCTGCGCGTGGCCGAGGAATTGTCAGGACTAATGCCCAGCCCGAAGATCGTTGGCTGGACATGTGTTCCCGAACCGCCTGCGAACCCTTCGCTTTGCGCGTCCTTGCTTCCCCTGGCCGTGGACAAAGGCCCGTGGAGGCCTTGGAATGCGTGGACCGATGGCTCCAGACCCCGGACCGTTGATGAGCAGTCTGCAAACATCGGAACACGAGTCTGATTTGTTCGCCTTTCCGATTACATCATAGGGCAAAAGAACCCAAAATCGAGTCAACAAAAAAAGATCCGCGATGCGCATGAGTCGGGTCGCCCGGAATCGGCAGCCAAGTCGGTAGAAGTCGCATCGGCGGACATCGGCAGGCTCGTAAAGCCCCACTCGAGAGAAATCGGAATCCACATCGGAATCCCATGCGGATTCCGAAGACGAATCGATCCCGAATCGGAATCCATCGACATCGAGCCGAATCACATCAGAGGAGTCGAAATGAGCCCTTTCGGGCACTGGTTCCTCACCGCACGAAGTGGTCGTGGCGATCGCCGGCGCTGGAGGCCGGATTTGCAGCAACCCGAGCATCCCATCCGTCGTCACCATCGTCGTCGTCGTGGTCGTCGTCGTCGTCGTCGTCGTCGTCGTCGTCGTCGTCGTCGTCATGGTCGTCGTCGTCGTCGTCGTCGTCGTCGTCGTCGTCGTCGTCGTCGTCATGGTCGTCACCGTCGTCGTCGTCGTCGTCGTGGTCGTCGTCGGCGCGGCGATCGCCAGCGGCGGCGGCGGCTCGGTCGCCGGAGGCCTCGCGCTCGGCGAGGGCCCGCCGCAGCGCCCGGCCCTCGGCCTCCAGGGCCGAGGCCCTCGACAGCGCCGCGGCCAGCTCCCGCTCGGCCCGCTGGGCGCGCTGCTCCGCGGCCTGCAGCTGGCGCGCGGCCTTCTCCGCGCGCGGGCGGCGGCTCGGCGGCGTCGCGGGGGGGTGCGGGGGCGGAGGCATGCAGACGAGCGCTTCCCACGACTCGCAGAGTAGCTGCTCGCAGATGGCCTGGATCTGCCACGGGGGGCCTCACGACGTAGCGCCAAGGCAGACGTATGGTTTTTTGCTGACGTCTGCGAGCAGCGTGAACGAGCTCCGTGGTGTCAGGTGGAGGCAAAGGAGAACCGAACGCTGCCGGGCTCGGTCTCGCGTCCGATCCCTGCCGGGAGCGACTCCCCACTGGCAGACGGGGGCAATTCTACCTGGGTAGGCCGTGGATGGTTCACGAAACGCACGGTCGTTCCGTGACGCAGGAGCAGCACCAGTGTCAGGCTCAGCAGAACCACTGGAACATCCGACAACCCGCCATTCATCGAGTGGATGGCCCACAACCTCTCGACCCCTTTCGGGCCGGTGGTGATGGGGGATGACATAAAAATGGGGGGTGAAGACAAGGGCTTGCCTTCAAGAGGCTTATAGGGCTCCTATCGGACCCCCAGCTGGCCCAAAAAGGGGCCCGAAAGGTCCCCGTCAGGGCCCTTTTTTTCTTCACCCCTCCGTTGTGTCACCCCCCATGACAGCCCGCCCGAGACTCCTGGGCCGAGCATCTGTCTGGCGTCGTATGCTTGACGGCCCCGGCGCAAGAAAGAGACCTCTCAGGCTGTTTTGGAAAAGCCGCGGGGCCTAGCGGGAGCCTCTTAAATCCAAAACGGCCCAAATCATTCGGTCGCGATGCGGCTCATAACGCGAGGGTTCGGTGGCAACTCATGCGAGCCTCCAATACCCTCTTGCAGGCTCTTGCGAATCGACGCTAACAAACGCAAATCGATCCAAATCGACTCGAATCGACGCTAAATCGGCGCATGCGAATGCACTGTGAAGACAGAAGTGCGAGGACTATCGAAGCTTCAATGAAATGCTAATGAACAGATTGGAAACCCGAGACGGGTACAGAAAAATTGAGCACTATGCCCAACACAAAACGTTGTCCAAAACCAACAGCGGCCGCTGTTGGGCAGGCCACCTTCTGTTTCAAATGGACAAGTCATGTTCAAGGTAAGCAAGAGATGATGTTGGGCATCGTACCCGGTATGTCCGTACCCATTTGGTTCGTGGCGAAGCGAGAGTGTTTGAGGCACGACAATGAAAACTGATAGTGAGGATCCATCATGATGCAAGCCCCGTGGGACGCCCATGTCGAAGCTCTTCGAGCGGGGCTGGCAATCGAAAGGGATGAAGGATGGACCGAGGAGGCCAGGATGTAAGGGATCCCTGGGAAGGCTGTCAATCCTAACTATCGATTTCAACTGCAACTGGGGAAATCGAAGGGTACCGATACCGCTACTCCCCGGACCTCTCTCGTGGTGCGTTCTGACCAGGATTTCGAGGCGAATCCAGCAGTGGCGACGAGGGCCTCCCAGGAGGCCCAAAAAAGATGAAAACGGGCGGAGGGTAGCGGTATGGATACCTTTTCCTCCTCCGAGTGACTGCCGGCAGCAACAGGCCGCAGCATCAGCGTGGCCCGACCGTGCGGCGGGAGCAGCGCCGACAGCAGCGGCGGCGGCAGGAGCAGCGAAGCGACAGTCAGCTCCTGGTCACGCTTCGACGGGGCTCTTGAGGATGCGCGGTGCAGGAGGGCTGCTGAGTCAAGGACTAGCAAATTAAGGAACGAAGCCCGCAGTTGGCCCGAACAGCGCCTGCGCGCACAACGAGGGCACGAGGAACATCCATGGAAGGACCTAAGGAACGTCGAGCCCATTCCGAGCCAAGACTGTTCCTTGGCGTAGCGTCTTGAATGTAAGGGTGCCAAGTTCGGTGGCAAGTAGTAGGAACCTCCTATGCCATCGTGCTGGTTCTTGCGAATCGGCGCTACTAATCGACGACGATCGGTGCAGATCGACGCGAGACCGACGCTAACCCGACGCCAATGCACGTTAACTACCTCTGCGCTTTCCCGTCTGCTGCCAAATGCTACTTCGGATGCAACTCCTGGGAAATCAAATCCTGACTCTGCCCTGGCCCGACATCCGGCCCAATCCGGCTCTTTCCTGCCGAGTCCCGCTGAGTCCCGCTTCTAGTCCAGCCTGATCCCGCTCCATCCGCGGCACACTCCGGCGTACCGGCCCCCCGAAATGGGGCTCGAGCCTCCTTGATCCTTCCGACGACGACCTCCCCGCAGGTGCCTTCTGACGCTGGCGCACGCGAGCGCACACCAAGTGCGCGCAACTTCGAGGACGTACTGGGCCCATGATCTGCGACCGAAGCCGCCGAGGCCCTCTGACGCCCTAACGGAAGCCGAAACTGGAAGCCCCCAGCCTCTGGCAAGGGGCCGGAACGGGCCCAGAGGGGAGGGACGACCATGCATGTTGCAGTCGAAACGCTGTCATGAGGAACCCCATAGAAGAGAAGCGAGGCCCCTGTTTTTCCCACAAGGGAAACTGTGGCTCCTCATAAGAAGCCCAGCAAGGATAGGAGACCGATTTCTGACCACGGGCGAGGGACGTGAGGGAATGAGAAGGGGCGCCATGAAGTCTGGGGAGATCTCGTGGCCCCCGCCATGATGTCCCCACCCCCCCCACCTGGTCATCGCCCACCTCTTGGCCGCCCCCGGTGGCACGCCGACAGGAAAGAAAAACCCGAGGCCCCGATCCCGAGGACGAAGCCAGGACCGGGACGGCCTCGGACGGTGCGTCGGAGCGGTACCTGAGGCCCGGCGGCCCTGGAGGAGGCGGGCGCTCCAGGGCCGTGCCAGGGCGCTCCGGGGCACGCTCTGAGAGCTCGCCGGAACGCGCTGGCCAATCCCTGGTCCTGGCACGGGCCAGCCCCACTGCACCCGCCTGCCTCACGCCGAGTGCTGGGAGTCGTGTATGATGGAAGGGGCCCCTGGAGACACAAATAAATACACACAAATAAAAAGATTGCCCATATTTTCCAATATCTTGTGGGTTCTTGTCTTCCCCCCCACTTCCCATATTTTTGCATGTTTTCCTGGGAGTCAACGATGAATTGTGTCTGTGTGATTCTTTCCCTCCTGAATGATTGGGGAGGAAGGACACGGGAGAGCACAGAAGACCCTTCCGAGGGCCACACTGCCCGAGGAATGCAGAGGGCCCAGGACGAGAACACACAAGACTCGTTGAAGGCTGAACGACTTCTGCCGTCCTTCTACTCGCGCTGGAGCGGCCGCGAGTTGCTCCAACTTTCCCTGGAAATCGCTGGATCCTGGACTTACCCGGATCTATCTCGATGTACCTGAATGTAGCTGTTATCTGCATTTACCTGGATATATCTTGCTCGATCCCCACAAGTCGATCGGCGAAAAGTCGACAAGCCCTCAGGGGAGGACACAAGGGTACCACCTGCCAATCGAACTCGCCTGTAGCAGCAGGAGCGCCTGCAAGAGCGCCAGCATGCCAGCCAGAAACTAACACTCGAGCTCCGACGACGACGACGACGACGACGACGACGACGACGACGACGACGACGACGACCACGACGACGCCGATCACGACGATGACGACGACGATCACGACGACGACGACAAAGACGACGACGATCAGGACAACGACGACGACGACGACGACGACGCCGCGCGGAAGGTGCGGAAGGTGCTGGTCTAGGCAGCAGGAGCCCCGGCAGGAGCTTGGGAAACCAGAGGTACCGAGTATCGCTATTCCCCGGACCTCTCTCGGGTCGGGCGAAAGGGGGGCATAGCAAAGGGGGGGTTTGAGCATCAGCTCACGTAGCTGATTTTCCCCGCGCCTCCAGGCGCCGGGAGGCGCCCATGTATCGAGGAATGGGCCCGGCGGCGGGGCCGAAACCAGCTGCATGCAGCAGATTTCGTACCCCCCATTTCCCTATCCCCCCTTTCGTTCGGCCCGACTCTCCCAGGACGCGTCCCGACCAGAACCTCGAGACGAACCTAGCGGTGGCAACGGGGGCCTCCCAGGAGACCCACAGGGGAGGTCGGGCCTGTCCTCCTACAAGCGAACTCTGGAAGAAAAACTGAAAATTGTCGAAACAAACGAATCCATAACGAACAAAACATGTTTTAGCCAACACATCGTCCCCAGATGTGATGATTGACTCTTCTCGGACACCCCTCCTGTAGGGCGACGACATGCCCGACTTCACAGCGGCATCGGCACCCCTCGGCCCTCCTAGGAAGCGGCAGCACCCCGCAGCAGAGCGCCCGCGGCCGGCGGCGGCGGCGAGCCCGACGCGGCCACCGCGCGGAGCGCCCGACGCGGCCTGCGGCGGCGCGTCGCTGCGGGCGCCCGCGGCGGCGGCGGCCTCGGCCGCGAGGCGCGGCGCCGCGGCCTCCGCCAGCGAGGCGTGCAGGGCCCGCTGGAGCCGCGGCCGGCGGGGCGCCCCGAGGGCCAGGGAGGCGGAGAAGCCCATCCCCGGGCCGCCTGGGGCCCCGCTCGGAGCCAACCCTCACAGAGCCCTCTCGGGCCACGGCCCGGGGCACGGAGGTGCTCGCTGCTCGCGACCTCGGCCTCCTGAGCCTATCCCCTGGTGGTCTTCGGGATCACCCGCGGGCCTCCAGCGGCGCTCGGGACGGCCCGGACCCCCCTCTGAAGACTCTCGGCGAGGTGCAGCCGCTTTGGGCGTGGCTTCATGGGGGGGTCACAAATGGGGGGGTCAGAAAAGGTCCCCTTTCGTGCCCCTTTCGTGCCCCTCCAGAGCCCCAGGGGGCTCGTTTAGGTACCGTTTGGGTACCTTTTCGAACCACCCTCGCCACCCCCCCATGTATGACCCCCCTATTACGCGACGCCCAACCGCTGCAAGGCATCCCGACACCGGGAAACCGACGACTGCGGACGAGAGCAGCCGAACACCCCGAGCCTCGACTCGAGAAAGGGCCCCCCCAAAGGGGCCCGGCACTCGAGGTGCGGCCTCCCGGCCCCTGGGGAGCCGCTCGCGAGCTCCTCCGGTCCCCGGCCCTGTCGGAGCCCTGT